TTATATAAAAAAAAACTATTGGAATTTGACAACTACTTGCTTGTCTATAAGAGATGAAGAACTACTGCTGAATTTACTTTCGCAAATATATATCCTCAAGTCACCTACCAACCATATATCTGTTTATCATCACACTCGTATAAATTGTGTGATTGATCATATATTAAAATTCAAGTCTTTCACTATGCTATTACCAGCTTTTGTGCCTGTTTAAAGTTTGACAAGCTGTTGTGTACATGTGCAATAGAGAGGACTTGAGATTTGCATCTCCTAAGTCCTAATACAGTATTTCGAACTCATGAGTTTTTCCTGATAACCAATTGTGTTTGTCCTGTCTACTTGTACCCATCCCATTGTCGTTTTGTAATACCTGATATCTTTGCTTACTTAAGGTGTTTTGGTGAGAAATGCATTCGGATCAAATAAAAAAAATACCTGATATATAACAGCACCAATCAGTAATCCTTTGTTGAAATATAAACCTGCAGATCTGAAAATAAGACAACGATCACGTATTAAATGAGGTACAGGAGATGAGATTGATGGAGAATATTGCTTCAACTGCATATAATTTCAGCATTTAAATGGTATGCATTTGCAAACTTAATTATCAGATGGTCTGCAAACTTTAAACGGTTAGCCCAACTCCATAACTCTGACGGAATTGGGAAAAAACAGTCCATATTGTCCCAATGGAAAAGAGCATCAATGTGTTTTTTGCAATTTGCAGAGCCATTGGCTATGGCAAGTTTATCACACCTCCCTCCATGTATATGCAAGCCTAACCCCTCCAAGTCCAATATTTAACACCATGAACTAAATTTTCCTCAGCCATGTTTTACATTACACCAAAAGCATTTCACCCAAGCACAACTTTTAAAGCATGAAAATTTTGAGCTTTCACACCAGCATTATTATACTGAGTAACTGAGGCTGTAAGGCACAAAAAAACGTTAGACTTCCTATCTGGTTCGATAAATCTAGACGCAAGCCTCATTTTTGTAAATTTCAGAAGGTTCATAGCTAGAAGATTTAACTATCGGTAACCTGTTAAGTATCCTCAACATTATGTAAACTGAAAGCCATCTGGAGGTTGGAAGCTGCAAATCGGTACTGTACGTCTGTACTTATCATTTACTTTTGACAAAAACATGATTCTGATCTTGGATTACATGAGTGTATCGTGTGATTAAGTAAGCAATATGAGGCTCATATAGTTTTAGCCTTTAAATGATCAGGCTCATATTAGTTTCAACAGCCACTGTGACTGATTGGTCTGAAGCCTGAAGGAGATTCTTGGCGAATAAAGTATCTCCCTTGTGGCCTTGTTACTTTGTCAGTATGTATCCCCACTTATCCTTGTAAGTTGTGGTTCCACACTACTCACATACAAAGGGCCCGAATCTATGAAGTTATAGATTTCTATTACATTTTGGCAACCAATGAATAGCATTTCAAAGTTCCAAAAAAATATGAAGAATTCTGCCTATCGGATACTCATATAGCTACAGAACATTTTCTAGATGGAACTTAATAATCAGAAGAAATTTTTTATGTGATTTTTGTAGAGTGGAGCCCTCTGCTTCACACAAGGGGTTCCAGAAAGTATAACCTTTTTTTTTTAGGCAGGGACCGCGAACGCGCACCCCCCCTCAGCAACAAATTATGACGTAGACTATCCCACTCGGAGATATCTTAGGTGAGCACCCCTCCTGTGCAATGGAGGTCACTAACCTAGGCCATGGACCTTCTTGATTGCCCATTGACCCCGTCCAGGTAAGTCAGAAAGTATACCTTGAAACCTAGTATGGCCAAATTATATCAGAGACCATAATCTTCCTGTGTATAACATAATATATGCACGCATGATTTGCAAATGTTCATACCTGTGATAGCTTTCTCTCAACTCTAAGCTTTAGCATCTCATGACGCCAAAGAAGGACATCAAAGCTCTTCCTGCATCAAAACCTGCAAAATCTGGTGGTGGAAAAGAAAAAAGGAAGTGGAGCAAGGGAAAGCAGAAGGAGAAGGTGAACAACATGGTTTTATTTGATAGAGCAACTTATGACAAGCTTCTTTCTGAAGCCCCAAAGTTCAAACTCATTACACCTTCCATTCTTTGTGATGGATTGAGAGTCAATGGGTCTCTTGCGAGGAAAGAAATTAGGGAGGAAAAGGTTTCATCAGGATGGTGTCTGCCCACTCTAGCCAGCAGATCTACACGAGAGCAAGTGAGCAACTAATACGTAGTGGTTTGAATGTTTAACTCTCATGTTTTTCATTAGGAAGTTGTTCTGACCCAGGACTTCAGGACTGATTTAGAAAGCATTTTAATCCATTTATATTTTATATTGAACATATGTAGCAGAGTTAATTGAATAATGATTCACAATATATAGTAGGCATTGAACACTTAAAA